TCCACCATGCATACAGATTATCTTTTCACCAACCACGCAGCATACCGGCATCGTATTAAACACATCAGTAAAGGCCTTGAAAAGCCTGATATTGTACCGTCGCTTCACATCATCGAAAAAACCATACATCTTGTTGATGCTTGCACACTCGTGGTTGCCGCGGAGTAGGAAGAAATTCTCAGGGTACACAATCTTGTAACAGAAGAGAAGAGTGATGGTCTCTACACTATGCTTACCCCGATCCACATAATCGCCCAGAAATAAGTAATTTGAGTACGGTGGGTACCCACACTTCTCAAAAATGCGCAGCAAATCATAATATTGTCCATGAATATCACCACAGATACGCACTGGTGGTTTAATCTCTAGTAGCATAGGCTGGGACATAAATATATCACGTACGGCATTAAGAACATTCCGTATATCCTCTTCACGGATAAGAATTTGTTGTTGTGTAGCATTTCCCTTAACAATAAGTAACTTCTCTATGAGCGTCTGCATGAGCAAAACCACAAGTAACACGAACGTGCCTTTTTTCTCTCTTTTTTCGTTGTCTTTGCGGTGATATCCTCAACTATAGTTTACGGGATGCCTGCCTTACGCCACCCAATGTTTTTTTTTCTCTTTTCTATCCTCTGGTTTACCTTTTGTTGCGGGTTGAAAATTGTTTAAAGCAACGAAAAAAAACAGTAAGCAGAAAAAAGCTATACTGTTTGGTTATGCTTTTTCACCTATGTGTAGGACCCTTACCCACCCGGACTTACTCTCAAGGGAAACTATACAGGAGCACACAATCGCAACAAAGCTTTAGAATAACAAAAAGAAAAACGAAAAAAAAGAGCAATTTGTGCACAGGCATATCATATATATATATAGATACACATACATCTATATATATATATAGATTTGATACCTATAGATTTATATAGATATATCATATTTACAGATGTTATTCCCAAGAAGCTATTTGCACGGAGATTCCCGCGTCAAAATGAACACCAGTTGCAAGAGTCTACATCACAACATTTTTTTTTTTTTGTTTCTTTCTCTCCTTACCTCCTCATTTATTTTTTTCTTCTTTTCCTCCCTGTTACGAGGCGACATTTTTAGTGTGATACATGACTACACCGCCAGAAAAAAAGAAAAGAGAAGACCACTTTTCTCTGTGTTTATTCTTTCAATCAATCAATCAATCATTTAGTCTTCATATTCTTTCCTATCCTCTGGATGGTTGCGATTACCGAGATTCCTCTGGTTTGTGCAGTGTCAAGCCTCATCCCCACTCCCATGCATTGTGGAATATTGGGGGGATGAAAGGTAAAAGGAACAGAAAAGAAAAAAAAAAATGAAACAAAACTAAGAAATCACACACAAACAAACACACACACACACTCACTTCACACATACACATATACAAAGAAGTTAAGGAAGAAAAAGTGGCATGAAGGGCGAAAGGAGAAACAAAAATATCGTTTCTGCTCCACCAGTAAACCAGACGTCAGAGAGTCAAAACGTTGTGAAGATGCAAGAGCAAGTGTTGCAGGAGCATCCCACTCCCCCACCTCCTCTACAACTACATAAACAAAAAAAAAAAAATGAAGAGATGAGAAGACGCGAAAATGAAAACTATAGTACAGAGAACTAGAAGAAGAAAAAAAAAAAACGAAAATGAAAATGAAGGTAAAATCCCTCCACTTGTCATCGCCTTCCACCACAATGAGCGCGCAAAAACAAATGAGCCTTACAAAAGCAATCATTCACGCAAGTACGACAAAAGGCACAGAAAGTTCTGTAATAAACCAAAGAAGGGACTGACAAAAATAAAAAGATAAACCACCAACTACGATGTACTTTATCACTCATTACGAATGGTTCATCCCTTGTTTATTAATTTCTCCTTCATTTTCATCTCGCTTTGAATCATCACGCTACATGGAAGAAAAAGATTGGCACACAGTAACAAGGCATCAAAGAAACAGTATGAGTAACAGTGACTGACAAAGAAGTGGGGAAAAGAGATAGTTATTGTGATCATAAATACGTACCAGCTTATGTTTAGGTCAGTTTGTCTCTCTGTCTCTCTCTCTCTCTGTGTATGTATATATGTATGTGTGTGTGTGTGTCTGTGCTACTTGAAAATGCAATGGACCCAGAATGAATTTTTTTTTAATCGAACATCTGTGGTCACAACACTGTATGACCGGTGAGCAACATCTGTGTCTTAACATACATCACTCCAAAAATAAAAAATTATACACTCACACAAATACAAAAATGCACGCAGAAATACTGCCATTCATATCAAACATCTACACATACAGATAACGGGGAAAAAAAAAAGATATGTGTAAAGATACAGTAGCGGAAGACGAAGAGCTGTCATGGCCCAAAGATCCCGATCCCCAACTCCTTTCAACACAAGAAGTGTACCCAAGAGAGGAGAAACCATACTACGCCGCTTTGAAAAACACACACATACACATAGACACAGACAAACTGACCTAAACATATTATACACTCGTACAAATATTTAATTCACTAAGGAAGCATGATCAAGTCAATAAGAAATCCAATATACTCAAAACCAATCACCACTACTCAGCTTCTGAACTGCAGAAGACAGACCGTAAAGGTAAACACGAAGATTGTACACCAAAAAAGGAGGGGGAAAGTCGTACACAACCTCTGTACGAAACCCTCCAAAGCCAGATGGGGAAAGAAAATGAAAACGGAACTACAAAAGTAAAAGAAACAGTTTCACGTTCTTTTTTTTTTTTTTTTTTTACATTCAATATAAACCCCAGTTACTTAAGTTCCTCCAGTTCAGCAAACAAATCTCCACTTTATCGGACACGGAGAAAAAGAAAAAAAAAAAAACGACCAAAACGAACATAACATTGAAAAGAACATCATATACGTAAAACAATTTAGCTGTTTGCCGGAATAATGAGAAAGGAACATTGTAATTTTTCATCAATATTCATGACAGCCGCATCATTATCAAACTCACCGCAATAGTTTGGAGCGGAGAAGATTGTTACTAATTGCCGACTCGCGAAGAAACCGTAGCCACGCTCCATGACTTGGTGGGCACGCACCACCAGGTCCATGTCTACCATGTCCAGGAAGTCGCCCACAATGTCCTCGCCGAAGAGATAACTCACACCGCGGTCACTCTCAAGAAATCCTTTCACTTCATCCTCAGGGTCGGCCCACAGTAAATCACACAAGATACCTTTGTCCGGCACATCACAGGGTCGTTCTATCTCATTCACAGCAGCAAGAGACGTCAAATCAGGACTTAGTCCACCATGCATACAGATTATCTTTTCACCAACCACGCAGCATACCGGCATCGTATTAAACACATCAGTAAAGGCCTTGAATAGTTTGATATTGTACCGTCGCTTCACATCATCGAAAAAACCATACATCTTGTTGATGCTTGCACACTCGTGGTTGCCGCGGAGTAGGAAGAAATTCTCAGGGTACACAATCTTGTAACAGAAGAGAAGAGTGATGGTCTCTACACTATGCTTACCCCGATCCACATAATCGCCCAGAAATAAGTAATTTGAGTACGGTGGGAACCCACACTTCTCAAAAATGCGCAGCAAATCGTAATACTGCCCGTGAGTATCACCACAGATACGCACTGGTGGTTTAATCTCTAGTAGCATAGGCTGGGACATAAATACATCACGTACGGCATTAAGAACATTCCGTATATCCTCTTCACGGATAAGAATCTGTCGCTGCATGCTACTCCCCTTAACGGTGAGCAACCTCTCTATGAGGCTTTGTACTAGGTTAGATGACATTCCCTAGCCTTTGCCTCCCCTGCACCGTTTTTCTATTTAACGTACTTTCTCGTGTGTACAGCTCTCTTTTCTTTTTCGTTCAAAAACCTAAATATATATATATATATTTTTTTTTCTTGGGGGGTTTTCTGGTTTAACACCAGTGGTGACTGCACACGCTGGCGTTTTTGGTGGGAGAAAGGAAAAAAAAAAGAATAAATAAATAAAAAATGAGGGAAAAAAACAAACCAATGAAGGGCAAAGGGAAGGATGGGGTTGAGAGTAAAAATGAGAGTGTGGGGGAAATACGAAGGTTCGGGTAAATCAGATGTGCGATTGCCAGGAGTGGCAAAGGACACTTAATTTCTTTCGTGGAGAAAAGAGAAAGGGGATGAGAAACGATGTTAGTAAAAGATGCCCATCACAGCAAGAGTACCGTCATTATAAGAAGTCATGATATACAGAAATTCTCTAACGACCATTTAATTTCCTTCTTTTTTTTTTTTTCTCTTTTCATTTCTTCTTGTACAATTGATGTGGGGTAGTTTTATGTTAAAAGAACGAAAAAAAAAAA